TATACCCTTTAGACAGAAATCAAATATTAAAGAAATTGCCTGGTACTGATGATACTGAATCAAATGAAAGTTTTGGAAACAGTTTAAACGACACAGTTTTACAATTTCTACAGGGTATTAGGAACAAAAAGAGAGCTAGAACTCAAAGAAAAAAGAAAATTAACATCGCACCGGGTAAAAGCATTGGATTGGAAGATTTTGAAATAGGAGAAAGTTCTGGATGTTCTGCACCACCCACGAAGAATAAGAAAAAGTCTGCTAAGGAATTGGATAGTGACAGTTCCGACTACGAACTAGAGCTTCAGGACGAATCTGATTGTGATTTCGAGACATTTTGTGATGAAATGCACCAAGAAAAGAACGAGGAGATCGAAAGGCCAACAGGGGCTGCAGTCGTCGACGATTATGTGCTCGTGAGATTCGCAACCAAAAAGATCTTGAAATTTTTCGTTGGTCTTATAAAAGAAAAACTGCCTGATGGAGATTATGTGGTCAAGTTCCTGAGAATTGCGAAGAATTCTGCCTTCTATTGGCCAGAGGTAAATTTTTCAGTGCATTTTGCATTATACCAAAATCGATTGTTGATTTATTTTCAGATAGACGACATTTCAGTCGTAAGTTCTTCAGATTTTGAGAGACTTCTGCCAGCTCCAGCTGAAGACCGCCGCGGAAAAGTGGTTTTTTCGATCCAATTTGATGGGTATACTCTGGGCTAAAATCCTTCTAAAGACTGTCGTTTATACGTTTCCCTTATGTTTTGTCATTTGACTTGAAAATTACCAATTTCTTTAGTTTGAAATATGATTTTATAAGACTGTGTAAAAGAATTTAAAGTTTAATAAAAAAGAATGTAAAAAAATATTTTGTCAATAAATATAACCATTGAGAAAAAAAAAACAAACAAAACTCTCCCCACTAGTTTTTTCCGCTTGTTTCACTGGCGGGGTTAAATTGAACGAATAACTAACCTGTGGGCTCGTAGACACCGATTTATACTACTGTTCAATGTTACCCCGAACCCGAGGTAAAATTGAACAGCAACTTTTTTATAGCTATTTTTACATAGCTACGCCCAAGAGATAATCTAACGTATGTAAAGTCATGCTTCTATAGTGACCCATAAGTGGTATTTTTTTTTATTCGATTGAGCAACAGATACAAAACTTATTCAACAAAATATGAAGAAAATGTTCAATATAACCCCTTTTTACGGTAGCGATATAATCGAACCAAACACAGAAAAATAAAGCATTTTCAAAGCATTTTTGAGAAGTGGGAAAACACAATAAACATAGAAAGCGGGATATGAAATAATGTAAAAACCTCTATGAAGTGTTATATTCTATCTGTATAAAATTATTATTTATTGTATGTCGTACTTACATATAAAATATTTTACATTGAAGCAAAGTTTGTATTAGTTTTTATATTAAGAATTATCCATCAAATATTGACGTAACATTTGACCCTGATGGTTAAAACTTGGGTTTCTGCAGATGTTATAAAAAGAAGTGAAAAAAAATTCTAGTTACCCGAATTAATAAAAAACATTTACTTTTTTTTAACTAACCACTGGATTCAGTTTAGCATTAGAAAATGGGAATCACCAAATAGTGATCTAACATGTTAATAAAAACTTTTTGTCTTCAGTATATACACAGTCTACAAGGTAAACTACAAGTAATAAATAAATAAATAATTTTTAAGTTACTTATTACTAATAAAATAGATTACCAATACTAAAATATGAAAAAGATAACCGGCCTTTTCTTAAGTTTTATAAGAAGATAGCAATTGTGATTAAGGACGAGGTTAAAAAGCTGCAAAACCAATAAAAATATGAAAGCACTAAAATCTGGAGACATACTTATAGATCTAGTTTAGGGCATGGCCTTCTTTCCCTGCGCTAACTACTGTTTATCTCCCACACTGCATTTTCCTAGAGAAAACAGACCCCTCTTTATTCTATGAAATAACTATTTATTCCTTTTTATCACACACCATTGACAGGCAGTCAAAAAAGATTCCTAACGGATGGCATTAGTGACCTCAGTTCTTAGTTAAGATGCATGATCCTGGAATGGCTTCTTCTTCTTAGAGTGACTTTGTCTGTCCATGGTATCTTTAGGATCCTTCTGTATAACCACAGCTCAAAAGCCTGAAGTTTTGAACGAGTTTCCGCCTTCAATGTCTACGTTTCTACTCCGTATAGAAGCACCGAGTTCACTTAACATTTAAGGAGCCTTATTTTTGTTTTTAGGGTGAGCTCATGGCTCTTCAACACAGAGCTTATAGTCCAGAATGCACTTTTTTCCATTCCGATGCGACATTTAACCTTTTGATCCACCACTCATTAATGATCGTTCCCAAGTAGTTGTACTGATACCTGAATAAAACAATACGAAGAATTTAAAAAACATTCATCAGGCTAATAACGAAACACTACCCGACACAACAAAAACAAAAATAATGCTAAAAATAGTAAAGATGAAAACTCTTAGAAAAATCGATGATAAGAGACTATAAGACAGAGCCAGGAATACAGATCTATGACGAAAATGCAAATTGGAGAACATTCAAGATCTAAGTTAAAAAGAGAAGAGTGGAATGTAACGATCATATAAGCCGAATGATAACAAAAAAGTAGTAAAAAAGGCGAGAGACGATTCCCTAATACGAGGACGATCAGTGGAAAGACCACGAATACGATGGAATGACTTACTGAAGGCACATTAAAAAGCAGACAAAGTAATGTTTACTCAAAAAAAAAAAAAAGAAAATTCGTTGATTTTGGCTCTTCCCTTTGGTTTGTTAATTGACATTGTTTAATCTTATCCCTATTAAAGTTCCCAAATACTGATATTTTTCTACTTGTTCTATCACGTTACCATTTATTGTCAATAGGTGATGTATATTTTGTGGCCTTTTTATAATCAGCATGTACTTCGTTTTTTTAGCGGTTATAGTAATTCTCATCTCAGTACTATTCATACTCAAGCTTTCGATAAGATGTTGTAGATCCTCTATACTCGTTGCTATGTTCACAGTGTCGTCTGCATATCTTAAGTTGTTAATTAATTTTCCGTTCACGGTGAGTCCCGCTTCGATATTATTAAGCGTGTTTTGGAAAATTTCTTCAGAATATAAGTTAAACAAAAGTGGTGATAGACAACATCCCTGTCTAACTCCTCTGCAGATCCTCACTTCTTCCAAGTGTTGCCCGTAAATTTGAACTATGGCCAATGGCCCTTTGGTTCCAATATAATGTTTGCACTATATTTATGATTTTACTGTCAATGCGCTTGTTCATAAGTATTGATATTAGTTGTTCATGTCTTACTTTATCGAAAGCGTTTTCGTAGTCAACGAAGCACAAGTGTAGATCAACATTTACATCCCGACATCGCTGAATCAATATGTTGATGGCAAATAGTCCTTTCCATTTCGGAACCCGAACTGCGTCTCGCTAATATCCGCCTCTAGCCTTTCGTATATTCTCTTATGTATTATTTTTAGCAGAACTTATAAGCAGAACTCATACTCTAAGCCCATAGAGAAAGGGCCCATACTCTACTATTATTACTAAGATTGTTATTACTGTTTCTCTGACGTGATTTGGACAAAATTTTCATAATAGACCTTATTGCTCTTTCACCTATTCCTTTTATCTACATTTTTATTTAAAGTACCCTACACTACTATCTTCTATAATAATTATAAACATTCTTCCACTTATATTTAAAAAACTTATTTTTAAATTGCTTGTTAAATACTATGAGAAAATGAGGATGTATTATGAACGATAGTAATTTGAAAAATATCTCAATATATGCAGGAATCATATAGCATAATAACTTATTATTATAAATTAATAAATAAATAGAAACAACGTAATAGTATTCCATAAATTTGTTATATGAGATGAAATTGAGATCCTACAGTATCGTCTTTTGTATTTCCTTTAAACTCGTATTTCTTGCTTATTAGATAAGCATAAAATTACAAAAAAATACTTTGCAATCATGATCTTGGATTTCATATTCAATACCATCGCTGTAGGATTTCTGCAAAGTTGGAAGTATGTCAATATCGATCATATGCAATAATATGATCCCTATTGACATAGGTAATTATTGTTTAGTTAAAGAAATTGTGATTCTAATAAATTAATCCATTGAAATCAATTCTTTCTTTTTTTAGACATTATTTTAATAACAAAGGTACTTATTTATAATAAATATTAAGCTTAGTTACAAACCTACAGTGCCAAATCTCCATTCAGCTAGATACAAAAGAAGGGATTATTGGTTAAGCAGCAGAATTAACAAAGCCAAAAGTACTTTTTTTTCAATAATCAAATATATTTCGGTATGCTTCTACCATCATCATCAATAGAAAATTAAGCACATTAATACAAACATAGCACCAATTTTTTTTGTGTTTTTTTTGTTTAAATGACATAGGAAAGTGCCATACAGCCAGTCACAACATGAAAATATTCTACCCAGAAAAAATATTGTGTAATACAATATAAAAAGATAATAAAAATTTCAAACTTAATTAACATTACAAATTTTAGGCATTAAAATTATTATTAAGGATAGGATAGAGATTAAACATAGACACTCGTTTCTCGTCTAGGGACTCATCAAGACATTGCTTTTAAGACAAACTATATTAGTAGTACCAAGTTAAGGGGAGTAACAACTTCTTTTTTAAAAAACAAACATTTGTTAAACAAAAAAAAACGCAATACTATTTTCACAAGACACTTTAATAAATCCTTCATATTTTAACATTAAAAACGTAAAGTTTTATTGCTAGATGCAACGTGAACTTTTTTATAAAAAAAGGGAAGGAGTTTCTTTTTGTTAAACAGCAAATACCCAATTTAAATATTGCGTTATCAATGTACATAACGACATTGTGAATTGCTTTAAGAAGAAATAGGTCACGTAAAATAATCGATACTTTTTTGAGCTTATTCCTAAACCAAAACAATGGAAGCCCTTATTCCAGATATTAACAAACTGCAAGATGTATTTAACACTGTTGGCTCAGACGCTATTCATTTACCTCAAATCATAGGTTTAGGATCACAGATTTCCGGAAAAAGTTCTGTTATTGAGAGTTTACTAGAAAAGTCCTTGCTTCCCCGAGGTATTGGTGTCGTTAAAAGAAGACCTTTGGGGCTTAGTATATTGTCTCAAAGAAGATAGAGAACATAGAAGTGACTTTGACGGAACTGTGGAGCTGAATGACTGGGAAATATTCGTATATGCCAAAGACGAGATTTTTATAAAATTAGAGTTGAAACCGTAGAGGTAGAGGAAGAATCCGAAGAAATTGACGTTAGTGGATCTACAAGCAATTACAAAGGTTCCTATAGGTGACCAACCACCAGATACAGAGCAACAAATAAGGGAATTATTGTTGAAATATATTGCAAATTCTAACTCTATTATTTTAGCTGTAGCTACCGCAAATACTGATATGGACACATCAGAAAGTTTAGCTATAGCCAAAGATTTAGATCCTGATGGCAGAAGGACACTGGCTGTTGTAACAAAGGTAGATCTTATAGATGCTGAAACTGATGCTGTAGACATCTTATGTGGGAGAGTTATACCTGTAAAAGTAGGAATCATCGGAGTGGTTAATAAATCTGAACAGGCTATTATGAACGCCATATTTAGCTAATACATTGAATAGGTTTTTGATGCATCATATAAGAGATTGTTTACTAGACTAAAAGACTAAAGTCAACCTGATGATGTCTCAATATATATGTCCTTATTAAGTTCCTATGGAGAAGATATATCCGACAATAGCAAAACAAATCTGCGTATTGTTCGACCATAAAACTTGGTTTTATCTGTTGGTACGACTTACAAAAATGGATATCTTGACAGCAATAAGAAATGTGAATGAATCACTTCCAGCACAACGACAGATAAGATTAGAGGAACGATCGCTGCGTTGTGTGGAACTGATTCATGAAGAAATGCAATGGAATATACAGCATTGCATTAACAAAGTTCAAGCCGTCGCCTGTCCACAACTAACTCAATTGTAAAGAATTTTGTTGTAATAGGCTTATATTAATACGAAACATCCAGATTTTTACAAAGACATCCAAGTAGTTCCCACAGTGATTAAGTCGACTGGAGAGAGCTGCTGGAAATAGACCATCCCGTCCCAAAAGCATGTTTGATTGTTTGGGAAACCAGATTCCCAGGAGTTGGTACATAAGGCCAGATCCTCAAGCAACCCTCACCTGAACAACGACGTCGACAAACCTTGGGCCATCAATGCAAGTGCAAACGGTAAAGAAAACGACTTTAACCATGTGAACAACATACAACATACATGGCAATCTGTATTTTGCAAACTGCTGCTCTGATAAGATTTGTGGCTGTTGTATTGAACCACGTAAGTAGATTTTTCAGCCAGGAAATCCTTCGCCTTCCTGGTCCACGTTTTCCTTTTACTTTTCCTTGTGAAATTAATTGCCGCAACTCATATCTTTCGCTATTCCTCGCGATGTGACCGGAGTATTCGATTTTGGCTGTTTGTGATTTTCTCGTAACTTTTTTTCTTTTTGAATTTTTAATAAAACATCCTGGTTATTGTGTGGTCGGTATAGGGTATAGTGAAAGTCCACTACTCAACTCCGTACAACAGAACAGGAAAAATACAACATCGTAGTAACCTAATTTTTATAGGTACTAATAAATCATGGCATTTGAACAGCTTAGCCATTTTTTGAAATGCAGCTCTTGCTTTCTCTATTCTACGTTTTATTTCTAGGGAATGGTGTCAATTTTAATTGATGGTCATACCAAGTTAGGTGTATGTTTTTACTCCTTCTATTGTTTGATCATTTGCTGTTCCTTCTTATAGATCGTCATACATTTTATTTTCTTTATTTTCTGTGAAAGTCCATATTTCTGACTCACCCCTGTCATTCTATTTTACTCCATTACGTTTCACATTATTACTGCAAAATGTTTCACATAATATTAGACAAAGAATGTGGTTTTTACACTACGGTAATCCAGTTTATTCACTACTTTTATTCATAATCATCTAAATATGTAATAACTTTTCTGCGAGTTTAATAGACAGAGGATTAACTGTTTGGCCACCGTAAACTCTGACTTGTCGTGTTTGAAATATTTGAAATTTGGCGTTGAAATCTCCAGTAATCATTGTATATTGAGTTTTTGATGTTTCTTTAGCTGTTTTGAGATCTTTATAAAATTGGTCAACTTCCTTATCTAAGTGGCTCGTAGTTGGTGCGTAAGCCTGTAGTATTTTAAGTTTTTATCTTGAATTTAATTAAATATTACGTTAAATGACTCTGATACATACACTTTTTGTTGTAATTATGATTGGTACCTCACTTATACCGACTTTATCCCATTTTATCTGTTTTAGTTCTTTCTCCAGTGCTATCAATATTACTTCTGTTAATAGATGTTCAGTCTTCTGTTGAGTTTGTACTTTGTAGGTTTATTATAAGCTTTTGTCATTAACTATGGTGGCCTTATCTTTTACGGTGATTTTTACTATCCTCTGATCCATATTTGCTTTGACCAAATCACCTTGGTCAGGGAAATTGCAACTGCCGGGAACTAAAAGCGGTACACCTGATGTGTCCATCATGAAGGGAAGTTACGGCTTCAAACTTCAAACGCCCAGCTAGCCAATTGAGAAGTAAATGAGCAAAGAAGTCAGGCAGTGAACACAAACAATAAGGAAGCAATAATACAAGTTGGACATAATAATGAACAAGAAAATAAAAATGATCAATTTGCACTTAAGATATCAAAAACACCTTAGATCATAGCTATAAGTCTATAAAAGAAGAAAGTGATGGAGGATCAGACTCTGAGCAACAATTAGTAAAGAAAATAAAAGTTACTTTATCGGTGAGTGTATGCAAATGGCATCAGAGAATGAACCTCTAATCATAAAAAAGATGTAGATGAGGCAGCTTATATTACTGCTGACATTATAAGATTTGATGCATGGGAAAACTCGAGGCGTTTGAGGGATGGTGTTATAGACAAATAATGAAAATCTCCTGGGTGGACCGAGTAACAAACATTGAGGTTCTACGTCGGATGGATAAATCATGTGAAATTATAACCACAGTGAAACAGCGCAAGCTAGAATATCTTGGACATATAATGTGAAACGACCATAGATATGACCTGCTGCAACTTATATTGTAGGGAAAGGTCTACAGAAGGAGGGAACCAGGAAGAAGAAGAATATCTTGGCTCCAGAACTTACGAAAATGGTTTTCCTTGACTACTTCAGGACTATTTCGAGCTGCGGTCAATAAAGTTAGAATTTCCATGCTAGTAGCCAACATCCGTAACGGATAGACACCACAAGAAGAAGGATTTTATAAGATTTGAAACATGGGAAAAAAAACGAAAAATAAGATGTCAAAACCCCGTATCTCAATTTTCGATGATTTTGTGTTTTTGGGTGGCCTATATTACAAAATCGATCTGCATCGATTGAGAAACCTTTTATTACAAATGATGTGAAATTGCACCTCCATCACTCGAATTCAGAAACCATGTATTTATACACAAAACCACGTAAGTCAACACGTGTTTGAAAAAGTGTTAAATACTGAACATTTTTGTGTAGTTATATAGGTTTATAAGAATTATAACTGTTTATTAGAAGCTATTGTAAGTGAAAACATCTTAATACTTTATTTTGATAATACGTAGACGCATTGTTTTACGTTAAACTGGAACATAACTTATATTATTCCAAAAAATTTGAGGGTATGATTACTCAATTATTATATTTCTGTTGATGAACTAAAACAAATTATATAAATCAATTAAGGAAAAACACAAACTTGTCAGTTGGTAGTCAGGTGGTCAAATTACCACTAGAAAATCTAAAAAGCGAACCCTGATATTGACCAGAATGAAAGTACTACCAATCAAAAATCACATTCTAAAGAGAAAGTCGCATAACTTTCAAGAGCCGTCATGGAAAACATTGGAAAAAAGGAAATACAGGCTTTGGACAAGTTTATGAGGCCTTTCAAGAAGAATTCTCCAGTTTCCAGCACATTGCTTCTTCATCAGGCTGTTCACAAAACAATCAAGTACATTTCTGTATTATTTTGAACCCAAAGAGTACTGCTATTCAAACAGAATCTCATTTAAAAAAAAATGACATCCAAAGTATATGCCTGGATAGTATTAATATAAAAGATAATGTTATGAATGTTGATGTGAAGGAAAGTACTCAGTACTCAATATCAGTAAGGATCTAACTTTGAATACAGAAAATCTCAGTGAAGCTGCGGAAAATCGACACTATAACACCGACATTGAATTTGAAGAACCTTTCGAAGGATCAGAGTCAAGTTATCATAAGAAGAAAAGGCGTAGCAAAAAAGGCAAAGCAGATTCTTTTACTCGGGAAAGAAATAAACAAAAATAAGGATGCGTGGTAAAGATTATAAAGCAAAAAAGAAGGAGAAATATTGAAGTAACCATAAAGAGAATCTCCCGGGAAATAAAACCAAGATGTATTTCAGTAGTGTTTAGCAGCAAAAGAAAAAAGGAAATGTTTAGTGATAACTGATGAGCAACGAAGGAAGATTTTTGATGGGTTTTGGTCTGAGATGGTTTGGCATCAACAAAAGATATTTGTGTGTACGCTAGGTAATAAACATCCAACAATGCAAAAAAGATCACAAAATAAATCACGGTGGAATTTAAGTTAATTTTAGCATTTGAAAATATATAGTACCGTCCAAAAGTAACTACTACTACTTTGCCTACCAAGATTAAACCTGTAAATATTGAACGCAGAAATAAAGTTGAAGCATTCCTTAAAAAACTGCCAAATATGCCCCTTCCATTATTGCCGTTCATCAACGAGTAAACTTTATTTGAAAACAACTTTTCGATCATGTACGGAAGTGTATGGAGTATATAAAAATTATAAATCACAATCTGCTGTCGGATATGATGTTTTCTTAAAAGAAATGGAAAACACAAACATTGATGTGTATCATCCAAGGAAGGAGAGCAAGAAGAATAAAAATTGCACATCCGCCAAAAAGATCGCGCTATAAAGGAAAAAATCAAGGATAAAGAAGATGCGTTGGAAGGAAAAGTGTGCGTATTTACGATGGATGTACAAGCGGACCTGAAATTATTAAATACTATTTAAATTTCAAAAACTCGTATCTCACGTTTTTTTTTTTCGAAAAAAATTTAACTTTATTTTTTCAAGTTTAATCACTGTCACAAATAATTCATTTCGTGGAACTACCTACTATTGATTTCAGAAAAAAAAAACAACTTTAAAAGTTATATTTTCTACTATGGGAAGTTTTATGTGATTTCGCAATATACACTAATTTTGAGATACAAGGTTTTAACATCTGAACTACGATATGTACAAACATATAACAGACGCGTCTTTACTTCAACCCTTTATACTAGCTGAACTACAGACTGGTTAGAACAGAAAATAGACAATGAATGAGAAGTGAGAAATAAATATCTTCTTTAGAGTATTTTTATTTAGTTGAGAAATATTTTAACTTAAATAACTTTAGTGACTATAGTACCTTTAATATAATTTGTTGTTTTGTTGACCTATTCAGTTTAATCCCGTAAGTGTTCTACGCGATAGTGCGTCAT